TGTGTTTTGCCTCGAGATTCGTGCCCGATCAAGATAATTTCATGATGACGTATCAATTTTGTTAATATTTTGATTTAAAATAAATCATATTTGAAATTTTAAAATATTTTTGCAAGTGGTGCTAGCTATTGATAGAAGTAGTGGTGGCCTTCATTGGTAGCGATGGGCAGTTGCTGTAGCATGTGATCGGAGATAATGGTCGCAGGCAATGGGCTGTGTGCAGCGGTTGATAATAACAAAGCTCGGTGGTGATTTTTATTTTAAAAATATTCAAAATTAGTTTTTTTTTTTTTTTAGATGCTCTCATTGATGATTACATTCTTTGAAAAAAGAAGAAAATTTCTTATATTATTTTTTTTCTAAAATTATTTTTTGAGTTGTTGTAGCTCAGTGATCTTGGCGTTATGTTATAGCATTAGAAACATGTTTTTAGACATTATACGAGTGAATGTTTTAGCGTTTTTTATTTCAATGAAAAGAATATTTAGTGATATATATGTCCCTTCGTATTTTTTAAATTATTTTCATATTTTTTCCATCTTATTTTCTTTCAATATTGTAACAAATTTCATGACAATAAGTGGTACCAACAAAGATGGAGCTTGTTATTGATGTTGGATGTTAATATTGGTGATATCAGCAGAAATTTACCTGACTTGACTCGTAAGCTCATTGAGCAATTAATTAACTTAAAATATATTTAAAAAAAACTTAATTTAATATTATATAACATATTTTAATAAATTTAAGTTTATTTATATTAAAAATAAAAATTCTAAAAAAATTGAACCAATTTAATTTAAAATTAATAAATCAAACCCTATAATCAAATCAAGGTCAAATTTAAATCTAACTCAATACGAATTAAATAAATGTAAATTAATTAAATAGATACTCAACTACACCCTTAATTACATTAGACAGCTCTAAATAACTTGTATTTTTTAAATTATTGATACAGCTTTTTTTCTATCACACTTCTCTCAAATAAAAAACACTAAACCACACACTAAAAAAGAAAGACATTTTAACCATTTGTTTTAAACAACTTATAATTACTTCAGAAAAGAACTTCCTGATAACAACTCCTTAACTTTTACACAAATGAGAAAGCCAATCAAATCAACTCTACTTATGTACTTTAAACAGTACACGACAACATAGTTCTCAAGCAAATTATAGAAGATGGTGTCACAAATAAGAGAAATTATTCTGTACGGAGGCCTCCAAACGGCGAATAAGGTGCAACCACATCAACAGTACCGAACGATACCGAATAATACTAAGCCGCTATACATTTAATTGGTCTCCGCACAGCGTCCAGCGTCCGCACAACCACCAACAATAAGCATTAGTGCAACAAAAAGCAAATGAAATGAGTGCATAATTTGACCGTTTATTTGGTCATCACCTCTTAGTAGCAAATAATCTACTCAGTGAATGACAGACTTAAATTTATTTTCCTGCAATGATAGTGATTGTCATTTATAAAACTCATAGTCATCATAAGAGTTTTCAACACAAACCACAAACATAATAGCACAGACATCAAAACACAGAAAGTTTACACAAAATCACAACATATAAAGCCACACGCTAACATAAATAACTAGCCATGAAGCAATTAAATCCTCCCTAGAAGCTTCATGGCCGATCTCCACTGGTCCCCCTCCCCATCATCAATAATGATACAGACAACCTGCTTCTTCCGCCAATCTCCATGGCCAAAACAAGAACAGCAAAGAGCTTAAATGGAAAGCAGCAACCATCATACAATCACACTATATCCACTACCTGTAGCAAGGGGGTAGAGCACCATACAGAGAAAGCTGAAAGTTTGCCTTCTCACACGCTAATAAAGCAAAAGGCCTGAAGAGCCAACCACAACACAATATGAATCTGATCCAAACTGCCTCAGTCAAAAGACATTTTCTTTCTGCTACGCATCTGCAGCAAGAGACTTTATTTCTTTATGATTATTGGCTGGTTCTTAATCCATGGAGGGAGAAGTTGTTCATACGAAGTTTATTAGAGTGAGGAGGACGAGGTACCGAAGGACTTGGCTCTTAACTTGAGCGATTTCAGATATTGAATGGCTTCATCGAGCACAGCAGCAGTGTTCTTTCCCTTGCCGCCGGGGATAATCCTCCTCAGGACGCTCACTGTGCGTTGAATTCTCTCCTGCTTGTCCCGCTTGCTCCTGAAAGTGCCTTTGGGTGCAGAGCTTGGACCAAAGTCGTCTTCTTCGAGTGTACAGTGGGAGTGAGGAGCGATTGCAGAGCTTGCAGTGTCTATGAGAGATGCATCCAGCTCAGAAGAATCTACTCTGCGTCGCTTGGCTGGGAAGTGGGAGCTTGTAATGTCTTCTTCAGCAATGTCAAAAGGGGAGTGCCCTGTGCTGGTTTCTTCATCTTCCATGCATTCAGAGTCCGAGTAAAGAAGGGCATCAATTTCTTCCGAGTCTTCCTGCATCTCCTCCTCTTCGATCGCGTGGCAATTGGAAGCATCTGCATAGGTTGTATTGCTTGCAGGTAGAGGCAGATTGAAGCCCTCAAATGGACTAGCTACCGAGCTAAAAACCAAGCTAGTTTGGTCCCTAGAGTGATCGAAAATAAGGAACCTCTTTGTCTGAGTAATGGCTTCTTGTTCAGAAGATCCAATAACAGGATTCAATGACGGGTAAAGGGAAGAATTGAAGGGAAAGAAGCTCTCCTGAGTTCCAAAATCAGGTAATGGGCAATTTGGATTGACAGAGAGAGAACAGCCATAAGGATTAACTGAGTTCTGTTGCTGTCCAGCATCAGGAGGCCAGAGTGAATTGCCTGAGTTGAAGTTACTAAATTTCCACATCAATGCAGTAAAAACAAATCTGAAATCTCCTGTAACACAAAACACGCATGCCCAAATCTCCATTAGCAAAAGGCTTTAACTTTATTACAACGATTGAATCTTAAAAGCAAACAGGGAACCCACCAACCAAGAAACAGAGAGCTCGTCGAGCGCCGACTCTCTCTCAAAGACAGTAAAAACGAAATTTTTATCTAAATCAACTGCAGCACTGAAGCTAATCTACGTGACAGGCTTCAGCAGGTGGCGGAAATACTCAGCCTGCACCAAGAAAACAATAATTATAACAGAATCTAATAATCAACTAAAACAACGAAAGGACGCAAAAAGCTAATTAGCGATTAAAATATCTTATTACAGGAAAAATACCTGGCAATCTGGCAATGGTTGGAAACAAACAATGATTCTAACTATGATAGCGGCACATCCAGCGATCCCATATTCATGTTTCAATCCCCGGAATCTCGTCTGCGTCGCCGCCTGGCAAACCATTCCTACTCTAATTCCCTTCAAATCAAGCCGATCACCAGAGAAACGCAAGAAGAAGAAGAAGAAGAAGAAGAAGAAGAAGCAGCAGAAGAAAAAGAAAAGCAGGGAAGTGCAGCAGATCTAAAGTGGTTGCAAAGGAAAGTATTTCTACTAAGAAAGCAAAGCTGCCTTTTTAACAAGTGGGGAACGCCTCAGCAAGAAGCCTCGTTCCCATAGATCGGGAGCAGAACAGTAAAGATAGGAACAGGAGAAGAAAGCCAAGAAAAGAAGTCTAGTTACAGAATAACCCGGCAGTACAAGTTCAAGGAAACCACTTTCCGATAGACGTCAACAGAAAGGCTCAGCCACCGCATACTGCTGCTCCAAAAAATACAGAAAGAACACACAGAAATCTTCGTTCTCGCCTCCTAACCCAATGAAACCCTGATTTTTAACACACAATGAAAGAAAAAAAAATCAGAAACAACTTAAAATATCAACCAATTAAAAAAAGAAACAATCTTAATCATCCCTACAGATCGCAAAACCTTGAAACTTGTTTGATCTCCACTTACAACCAAAAAGATCAAATATCAACGGAAAAGTTCGAATCTTTGAAGGGCAAACAGCTCAAAAGACCAAAAATCCGACTGCGGCGTGCGAATCTTACTTGAATTCTCAAACTCGGAAAAGAGGAAAGAAACTGAGGAGGCGAGGAGGAAATAGAAAACCTAGACCAGTTCACCGAGTAGGGAGCTGATAAGAGATGAATGGATTATATTGGCATCGGGTGACAGAATTGCCCTCAGCAACTATAAAGTATTACAGTTTTAACCACTAGTCACGTGACATGAATAACCTGTCCCGAAACGTAATATAGTCAAAAGAGTGACCAAAGGTCAAAGTAACTGTTGACCGAGAGTAGTCGGGAAACCAGGTTAAAGCGCCGAGTTCGGTGAGACTAATCTAATCTCTTTGGAAATACAATCATGTCGGTATCTGTTAAATTCCCTTTTAGCCCATAACTCGTAAATAAAATTTCAAGAAGTCACCACCCAATCGTAGCGAGTCGATCATTATTAGTATGATTTATTAAACTTTTAGCATGCTGGCCTCATGATTAATATTATTGGTAAATTTATAAAATTTTATTTTATATAAGTGAGTACATTTATAAATTTATTTGTTTGATTTATTAGACTTAAGAGATTTTGTCTATAAAAACACTTCTCAATTCTAATGTTAGAAAAAAGGAATAAAGTTAAAAAAAATGATTTTTAAATTCAATGTTAAATAAATAAAATATTAAAATAAATTTATGAAATAATTAATTAATTAATGAACGCATAAAAGAGTATATTGAGTAGTATTTATTGAAAAAAAAACTTAATGTAAAGCTATGACTAGAAATTAGGGGTGTCAATATTTAACTAGACCCGAACCCAAACTGAAAATTTCGGGTTTGGGTCAACCCAAACCCGTCCGTCGAGTTGGGGTTGGAGATTTCGACCCGTTTGTAAAATCGGGTCGGGTTCGGGTTGTCCCGAAAACCAGAAACCAACCCGTTTTGACCCTCCAGTCACCCAAAATCGATTTCTCAAGCATAGTCCGCGAATCTGCATAATGGTGTGAGCTTGTTAGAACTCTGGAGTTTGTGTCTTACATGATTCGTGTGAGCTCATCGGATTCGACTCGTGAGACGTGACCTTGTGTGGGTTTGACTTCGCCTCGCGTGATCGTGTGACCCCTGTCTAGCGTTACTGCGTCAAGGCAATTGGGCAAGGCTAGTCGTGGTTGGGGTTCGTCTAGCATCATCACTCGCGGGTTCGACTTCGTTAGTTGAGTTCCCAGCCGCGTCACTAGGCCAGGCTGGCCAGTTGCATCGCTCAGCGCAATCAAGTTGCCAGTACAGCTGCATCGCCTGTTCAAATAAACTCGGGTCGAGTCGAGTTAACCCGTAATCTACACGGGTCGGGTATGGGTGGAGATTTTTACTCTTTTTAAAACTGGGTCGGGCAAATAGTTTTGGGTCGATGTCAGGTTTGAAACCGTGACCCGATTTTGACACCCATACTAGAAATTATGATCACTAAACACATGGTTGTATTTTAAGGTGATATAAGGGGGCAATCAGCTAATCACTACCTTCAAAATCTGAAAGTTTATTTATATACCATATGTTATTATTTAAATAAGTATAATTTAAAAATATTCAATTTGTGCCACTCTAGAAGTTTAAGATTTATTATTTATACCAATTGAAAAATATTAATAATATTTTTTAAAATAGAAAATTTGTGCAATCAAAAAAAAATTCTAGCCTTGTCATTGGTTAAAAAAATTAATAAAAGAATTAACTTTGCACATAAAAGCTCTTTTAAAAAGTATTACGAAAGTTGTATCAAATGAAGGTTTTGTTTGGATCAATTTTCTTACTATTTTTTAAAATTATTTGCTAATACAAAAATTTATGATTTAAGAAATTTTTATATTAATTCATTTGACACAATTTTTTTCTTATTTTTTAAAATAACTTTTTAGTGCAAAAATTTCATGAAAAAAAAAAATTGTAAAAATTATTTTAACTCCCTAAGCAAAAATGCATTATTCAAATAGATACACTGCAACAAGATTATCCACTGCACAAGAATCACAATTAGCCTAGTTTAGGTCTCCTTTTATTTTATTTACAGAACAAAACCTGCCATTTAGCTCTTCAAGAGATTAATTAATAAAGAATACTTTAATTCTGCAAGAAAGATTTTGGGGATTTGATTCCCCAAAAGCAAAGGAAATGGAGACACTCAAGTTTTTTATAATAAACAATCGCAAAAATTAATCCATAAAAGCTGAAAAGCAGCTTAGAAATGATACCCAAGGCTCCCTAAGTATCTCAAGCGGTATCAGAGGAAGATATCGCCCTAATTTAGTTTAATCTTCCCGATAAAGCCATCCGTTTGGAGAAATTATTCTATATGAGGATGAGAAAACAGCTCTATATTCGGAGACCAATCAGAATGAGCTATATTAGTAATATCGAATTCGATATCGAACGGTACGGAGCCGTGGCACCAAGTAGTGCCGACGTGAGTTATTTTGGTTAGTATATGATCAATATTTGACACGACACAAAAATCCGACTCGAATCCGACCTGAAAAATTCAAGTTGGACCCGACCCGATTTCAAAACGGGTCGGGTTCCGATTGACCCGAAGGGTTGCCAGGTCAACCCGAAGACCCATGTAAATTGAATTACCCGCAGCTGCCAGAGCAGCCCCCACCTGCCCGCCTGCCAGCAGCATCCCCCCCGGACGCGTGCGCCTCGAGCTGCTCCCACTTGCCTGCCTGCCAGCTGCCGCCCGCGTGCGCAACCCGCTGCTGCCAGCTCGGTCAGCGCCCGTGTCCTCTTGGACCAACCGCCTACTCGAACGCGTCCGCGCCCGCCACCTGCTAGTGGTCCCGTGCACTCGACGCCCATCGTCCCGCCGCCGCCATATGTCAAACAGTGTCGGGTCGAGTCAACCTGCCAACCCGACGGGTCGGGTCCTGATCCGAGTTTTCAACCCGATTATATATCCGTGTTGTGTTAGGATCGACCCGTTTGAAACCGGATCAGTTCCGGGTTCAACCCGACCCATTACCCGAAATTGACAACCTTAATCTACAAACGACGTTTGACGTCCGTATAGAATAGTTTCTTCTCCGTTTGGGTTAGGGGACCCTAAAATTTTCTTCAAAAGCCTTCCTCGTGTTTAGGGCGTGGGGAACAAGGCAAAGGGCGGTACAGTGGAGTCCACCAACCCTTAAGGTCCACGCTTTGGGTAGCAACTTCGGGTTAATTAAAGCTTTGGGCCATTAAGTTGGGGTTATAATGGTTGGAACTTTAGGTAAAGTCTTAAAGCGAGGTAGATTAAAATAAAGCTCATGGTGTTGTTGGGGATCTGCTTTGTTATGGCAAACGTGCGAGTCGCACGTATGGATTCACGTGCGTGTCGTTAGAGCATTGGATGATGTTTGTTTTGCCACGTGTGTATGAAATCATGAAAGATAAGATAGGGCTGCCTTTTTCAACTTTATTTTGATGGGTTTTTATTTGTTTCTTGAAATTTGGATTAGAATAATTTTATAGTTATTGGAAAATAGTTATTTACTTGTTTTAGGTGACTAATTAGTTTATATATGCTAAATGCATCACTTGATAATTTTCAAATTTTATTTAAAATATTTTATTGATAATAGAAGTAAATACCTCATCTTAAGCCTTTGTTTCGGATAACTTTCATATTATTTTTTTTAAACAGCTTTCTTTTATAGTTTTTTTTTAATTTTAAATAATTTTGCACTAAAAACTACTTTAGGAAGCAGTAAGAAAATTATTCAAAATAAAGCCTAAGTGTTCATGCTTTGTATTATTTATAATTTATATAGCAATTGAATAAATACTTTTATAACTTATATAAATAAATATATTTATGAATAGCATGAATTTACGAGCTATTTGGTTGCCTGAAAAAAGAATGCATTTAAAAGAATTTTTTTGGAGTTGTTTGAATGAATGTAAAGGAAACACATGACTTTACTTTTGTTTATTTGATTTGAAGTAAAATAGACAGTTAGTTGTGGTGCCTGACGGTAGATGCGCACAACGATGGTGCCTAGCGGCAGTGGTGGTCGGTAGTGGTGCTCGGCAGCAGCGGTGACCAATAGGCAATAGTGGTGGCCGACATTGGTATAAATGGAGGTGCATTTTTAGTTTATTTGAAAATCGTCAGAATCAGAAGAATTCCAAATCC